AGTAGTATCAGTAGTATCAGTAGTATCAGCAGTACCAGTAGCACTGGACAAGCACCACGACGAATACTACGACTACTGCTGCTGCCTGTCAACATGTGCAGCCTGTCACGATGAGGTTGGTTGAAAAGTCCCCAGCCATCGGCTGATTCTAGGATGCCAAGTGGCACAGAAGTCGGTTCTTCTTTGGCGCTTGGTGTTCCTTCTGCCGTTTCATGGTCGCCTTGCTGCTGCGGAAATCACAAAGCATGTCTGGTTTGGTGTGCGTGGCACTGGCACTTGTTATGCCTGACCGTCTAGCAGTGAAGCAGCCATGAACATAAGGACGATGAAGATTTTACTCCACACCAGCAAGCAGTGGTATTGATGCTGCACTGCAAAGCCTCCACTCCGGACCGCCCTCTCCCTCGAGCCTCGATCAGGTGCCAGCGGCAGAGGACGATGGCGAGGCTGCGAACAATTTCTGTGCAGAGCCAAAGAAAGTCAAGTTTCAGCTTCAAGATGCCAGGTTTAGAGCTTGGGGTGCAGTCTTGCAGCAAGATCTTACATGTGCCAGGATATGCAGACTGGGGCCTCTGCAATTACCATGCGGATGCAGGCTGCTATCTCTATCGTCCACCAACCTCATCTCATCAGCCTAGCCTGAGCTTCATGTCCTGAAGGCATGAATCTAATCCCAAGTGAGGCGCCGTGCCCTAATGCCCTCAGCCACGAAAAGTCCAAAAACCCAATACCCATCCCAAACCCGAAACCCCACAACCCGAAGAGAAAGTCGCAGGCGCCATGGAAGAGGTCTCGAAGGGTACGCCGGCCCAGAGTGCAGATCCGTAGCGCGCTTCTCGAAGCGAGCCCTCAGCTTTGACATATCCATCCCTGTGTTTTTTGATGTTTTGGGGCCTGCTAGCTTCTTAGAGGGATATTAGTTCCATAAATTATTACTGCTACTACACTACTACTACTACTACTACTACTACTACCACTACTACTACTACTACTACTACTACAACTACTACTACTACTACTACTACTACTACTACTACGACTACTACTAGCAGCAGCAGCAGCAGCAAGCAGCAGCAGCAGCAGTAGTATAGCGGCCGCAGAGCAAGCCGCGTTTACTGTGCTTGGCTGGCATGTGCCCTGAATGGCTGCAGGGTGATGAATGAAGTCAACCATGTGTATCAGCAAGACTCCCCCTCACCCCCCTCTTGGAAGAATGGAATGTTGGAGACGTGGAAGCACGGAATGTTGAAGCTAGAACCCTGAAAAGCCACGGAATGTTGAAGCTAGATTGAAAACATGCATTTGGCATGGGGCCGCGATAGGTTGCATAAGCTAGTACTACTAATACTGATTATACTGCTACTGCAATAAGTATAGACTAGGCCAGGCTAGACTAAGGTAGTAGCAATCGTTGCGACAGGATTCGTCATCATCTTCATCTCAACCGATTCCACAGTACCTAGCGCAACAGGAAGACATGAGCCGTGTACCTATAAGGGCTACTGTACTACTACAATGACTATAATGACTACGATGACTATAATGATTACAATGACTACAATGACCATGATTACTAAAATGACTAAGCAAGACATACCTGTGTTGCAAAGTTTCGTTTTTCTCGAGGCCAGGGCCCGAGACGCGGACAAGGCTGGTTTCATGGATTTCGGCTTGACAGTGTCAGGGCCGAGGGTGTTAGGACTGAGGGTTCCTAGGCTCATAGGGCTGTAGGGTGCAGCGTTTAAAGTTTATGGGTCTATGTTATTCCGGGGGTTTCAGTGCAGGCTTAGGGTCGTGGACGGTGGTGGGCCGAGGCCTGCATGGTGTCTGAAACACCCAAACTCAACCTTTGATTAATCGCAGTACAGAGGTCTCAAAAAAACGGAACCCTGGTACGGACCGTGAAGCTGTTGCCCATGGGGCCAGATATGTAATCGCGTGGGACCCCCAGTTTCCGAAAGTCCCAGGTGTCGTGTAACGAAAGAGGAACCAAGGTCTAGGGCTTAGGGTTCAGAGTTCAGGGTTTAGATGCAGGATGGCGTAGCTTTAGCGGGATGTTGGTGAATGCATGCCATCTTCTAGACTAGACCTTCGCGCAAAATACAATTCTTCATGATGCGCGACGATGATGCGCACAAAGTGGGCCTATGATGTAGGAATTTCCTTACTTAACTCCCGAACGCTGCAACATGGAGCCCCCGCACAGGAGAAAGAAAATGGTCAGGAGCCGCCAAAGGCACCCTGCTGTGCCAAAAACCCTCAAGCCTGTTTTGGGTACCTAGCATCCTTGGAGTATCCTTCAATTTCATTAACCTCTAAATGCCCTCATGGACGTAACAATGGAGCCGTTGTGCCGTGTAGGTCGCTCGGCATTTGACTCAGTGAAGGCCAAGTGTAATTTTCAAGCGATGTACACGATACTTTTCCAGCTGCGCCGCATATTTTAAAGAGGTGTTACCATGCAAGAGGGTTTTGGGGTAGAAACTTTCGTCCTGATGATGTATATCTCCTTTTGTGAAGGTGTGGGGCTTTAGGGCTCCGGCTCGGAACACTTAGCCCCAAGAGCCTCGGATCCCAAAGTCCTAAGTTCACCTGAAGCTCGCGAAACCCCCAGCCCTGAACCCTAAACCGCTTAACCCCCAAACCCCAAGAGCGTTGTCCCTCGGTGTCCCTTTCGCCTCTCCTCGCCTTAAAGATGGAACTGGATACAATGCGGGCATCCCCTCGCAGATACCCGTATGGACACCCTTATCGATACCCTTATAGAGTCCTTCATAAGTGGCGCAAGACCCGAGACGACCTCGTCTCATCGAGTTGATCCTTCGACTCACTCACGCAGAGACCTCGAAAACTATTTGTACTATTCCTTACGTCTTTTGGCTTCACGGTAATGTCGAAGCCTGAAGAACCAGAGACGAACATGCTTCATTCTGACAAGGTTGCATTGTACCCACATCCGATTCTGATGTTTCAGTTTTCTACGTTATCGATCGCCGCATGATCTGCAGGACCTAAATGGCGACGCTCACGAGCCTAAGGCCAGTCTGTGGGCTCGGTTGGACGTGCAGTTTCTGGGTGAGGGCTTGAGGTTGCGGGTTTAGGGGGCTGGGTGTCGGGTTCAGGGATTTAGGGCTCTTGGTTTCCTCATACCCCGTGCAAGCAAACAAGGAAGGCAAGGCAAGGGGAGGGAGAGCAAGAGCTCAGCAACACAGGACGAACCGAGCAGGCAGTCCCGAATGCATGACGGAAGTAGCCAAACACTCCACAAAACTGAGGGTGGTTGGGCAGACCTAAGACCTGAGGGTCGCTAGTGGACCCTCATGCCCACCAGAAAGAAAGAATAAGAGAGAGCGGGCCTAGTTTAGAGCTTTATTATCCGGCATGTGCGAGTGGACAAACTGGGTGGTGCGCCAAGTACGGGTAGCCGGGTAGCCATGCCCGAGTAAGTGTTTTGCAGAAAAGTTGGGATGGGAGGACTTCGGCAAAGCCCGCGAGCAGCTCCAAAAATCATGTCGCGATTCGCACTTGCGGTGTCTACTATGTCACTGGCTTTGAACCCGCAGTGGTGAGGACACCATGGAGGCCAGGGTTGCGGACTTGATGGAGCTGCAGGAGGCTGCAAAGAACCGAAGGCGAGGAATCGTGGAGAAGGCCAGGGGTGTCAATGGAGAAGAAGGAAGCAACACATCCCGGAGGGAGAAGAAGGCAGCTGATGACATGGAGGAAGCCCCGGAAGTCGTGAGGTTAGACTTTCAGTTTAGGGAACTTGGGGTGGGATGGCCATTGTTGTTGTAGGGGTCCAGAGCAAAATTTGGGTGGAGGCTGAAGTTTCCGCGCAATTGACTGTAGGGGCCTGAAGGATTAGATTAGGGTTTTTTGGGGTGTATTGTACTATAATGGCAGTCAATCCCATTTATTTTGGGGTGCTTATAATAAGGATCCTATTATTTGGGGTACTATAGTAGGGTCCCCTATTTTTGGAAACCCCCAAATGCTCACCAGGAAGAGCCGGAAAGCCTAAAACTGCCGAATCCCACCAAGTGGTTTAGGGTTTAGGGTTTAGGGTTTAGGGTTTAGGGTTTAGGGTTTAGGGTTTAGGGTTTAGGGTTTAGGGTTTAGGGTTTAGGGTTTAGGGTTTAGGGCCCGAAGCCTGAGCCTCGAAAGTCTCAGCCCCAAGCTGCGCTGCTGTCTTAAGTTTAGGGTTTAGGGTTTAGGGTTTAGGGTTTAGGGTTTAGGGTTTAGGGTTTAGGGTTTAGGGTTTAGGGTTTACTGTATGGTTGCTAGCATCTCATTTCTTAGGGGTACTTAGAAATATTTTTTAATCTTTGGTTACTATAAACCCTAAGAAGCAGCTAAAATTTTAATTTTTGCTAGGGGTCCAAGTTCAGTATAGATTGTGGAAGCCCCCAAACTCAGCAACAGGAAGAGCGAGAAAGATAGTATGTCGCAATAGTAGGGACAGGAATGCGGATCAGAAAATGTACACAGGATCCAAGAAAAGGGTAGTGTATAAGATCAATAAGAAGAATACTAGTAGGAAAGAATAAGTGTAACAGCAGCAATAGAAATATTTATCTGATTGATAACTGAAAGCAATACGGGTAAAATAGTTAGGACAGGAAGCAGTCGAGCGTAAGTTTTTGTTGATCCCGATTAAGCTCCTTTTCGATCCTGATTAAATAGTGCTGAACCCTCCGCGCTAAACGCTAAACGCTACAGCTAAACCCAAAGCTCTGAACCCTAAAGTCCAACGCTCCAAAACCCTGAACTCCAAAACTCCAGAGTCGAAGCCCTAATTTAATTCCTAAACCTTCAACTTCAAACCGTAACTCCAAATCCTAAACATCCCAAGCCCCAAGCCCTGAACCCGGAACCCTATGCCCTAACTCTTACGTCGAGAGTTGATCACAGTAAGATTCAGACGGAGGATGCCGTCAGACAAGCGAAGCCCTCCGAAGCCGGGTCCTAAGCTATGGAGACGACATCTCTTTGCGGTGTAGGGTTTTAGGATTTAAGGTTTTTAGGGTTTCAGGATTTGGGGTGTAGGGTTTCAGGACAGTAGAGATTTACGGAATTCAGGGTTGTTCGGTTCAGATGTTGGGATGTGGGGTTAGTTAGGATTGGCACTCAGCGATTAGGATTTAGGGTGTTCAGAGTTCGGTGCTTGCAAGCCTATAAAGGCCAACAGGTTTCTGTGTAGCTGTGGACGCCAGCCACAAGAACAAGAGCCTTGCGTGATTGAGCGTTTAAAAGAATGCTTTGGTGTTTAGGATTTCAGGGTGTAGGGATGGAGGTTAAGGTCTTTTTGTGGGATCGGGGTATGCATACGTTCGGGGCACAGATTTTTCAGTTCCGGGCTGGATGATTTTGGAATGGGTTTGCGGAGGAGGTTTCTCGATGGTTCTGGGTTGAGAGTTTTACGGTCCTTTCGGCGCAGGACTTTAGGGACTTTTTGAGTTGTGCCGTACTTTTTTTAGACTTTCGTGTTCCGGGTGAGGGACTTTGCGTGCACGGAAGACCCGAGGACGAAAAAGAGAAGGAGGATGAGAAAGCGAACAAGGACAGTAGCCACTTGGCAATGCTCAGCCAGTATGACGTAGCCGGGGTAGAATGTCGTTCTCTCCTCAACTAGCACTATCTTGCTTGCAGCCGTCCGTGTAGGAACCCGATACACCCCAAGCCCAAGACTCGTTCTAAAGACGTCGCTTCGGCAGTCAATTTTGGCGCAAGCGCTCATGACGAGTGTTTGGTAGCATTGCTCAGGTTATCAGGGTTTCGGGTTTGGCGTCAGTCAGCTGTCGGTTGTTGTGTTGTCGTAGTTGATCTAAGCACCCGGCAGTAAACTTATATAGCATTGTTGAAGCGACTTTTTCGAACCCCTCTGGGTGTGCAAAGACAGGCACAAGGGAGGCTCAATCCTGCATGTCGATTGTCCAAAAGCCTCGTGATTGATGGTAGGCTGTGCGCAGGGCCTTTTCCCAAAGCAGCCCAGTGCACAGCCCCACGATTCCTCGAACTTTGCGTTCTAGTGATCTTAAACCACACATCCTTGCATCTTGGGCTAGCTGCATCCGCAGATGTTTACCTGAGGTGACGACGAGAAGGAAGATGAGAAGAAAAAGGCGAGCAGTGGAATGCTATAGCTCGTCGGAAAGACGACCAACGTGATATCGCCACTGTTGCGATTACCTCTGCTACTGCTAGTTGCGACCAGGGATCATGCGAATTCACATGTGTCCAGATCATCTGGCAAGTGATGCAATCGCATTGACAACTCCAGACCGGCTCTTTCTTGTTGTTTAGGAGCTATATAGAGCACAAGCCTTTTTTCCTGCAAACTCTTGAATATGACATCTCCAGCCTCGTTTTTGAAGTTTGCAACTATGTACTACTACCATGACAATTATGTACAGCTATACAGCTTCTATGACAACTATGCACCACCACTATGACAACTGTGTATTACTATTGCTGCCACCACTACTACTACTACTACTACTACTACTACTACTACTACTACTATTACTACTACGACTACTACTACCACTATTATGATTACTACTGCTACTACTAGTATTGTTTCTACTACCACTACTACTACGACGACGACGGCGACGACGACTACTACTACTACTACTGCTACTTCTACCACCACTACTACTACTACTACTACTACCACTACTACTACTACTATCACTACTACTACTACTACTACTACTACTACTACTACTACTACTACTACGACTACTACTACTACTACTACTAGTACGATTACTACAACTACTACTGCTACCACTGCTGCTACTGCTAC